CTTTGTTCAGCCCATACAAAAGTCTTTGGAGGACAGATTGTCTGGCATTTCAACCAAGAAATGCAGTATACAATTAGTCTCCCTCACCTTCAATACCTTAGATAGAAGGAATCAGGAAGTAAAAGCCCAAACAAACAAACCCTAGAAGCCTGAAACCATTCTAATTGTATTTGTGCACCTCCTGAAAAACAGAGGGGAAGGGAAAAATTATTAAAAATATGCCTGCATTAACTTTACTCATGTGACCAAATCACTCTACAAACAATGAGGAAAACCTATAGTCCCTTTATTGAATGTTGAACTACTGAAAAATATTTCAAACTTAGCTTTTTTTTTTTTTTAATTTGAGTTTGGAAGTGCACCTGTCAGTATTTGCAAGTGGCGAAGATATCATGGCTTAAAAAAAAAAATCAGAAGAGAAACTACTATTAAGCCACTTGAGGTTATTTCCTTTAGCATAATCCTCCTGTGTGCCAAGTATATCCTAGCAGAAGCTCTCCTTGAAAGTCTTCTAAATGTTTGTTCACAGCACTGGGCTCTAAGTCTAAACATTTAGTTTCCTAGAGCTCTTTGTCAGGCCTGTTTACAGTCATGTCTATTTTTCAAATAAAGACCTCAATTTGTTCTTATTCTCAGTAAGTTTGTGTGCTTCTCCTAAATTAAGACAGTTTCTCTTTTTTTATTACTTTTTTTTTTTTTTTTAAGTAATCACTTTCATTTCTGTTTAAGTTCTTCCCTTTCTTTTCACCAGCCTTGAGGTTTATCAGTGGGAAGCATTTAATTTATTGATGACTCTGGTGGGCCAGTAAAAGAGACTTCCCAGTAAACAAGATGTAGCTCAGTGTTGCAAACCTTTGCTCGTATGAATAGTGACGTGAAGGTCAAGAGGGCTCCTCCTTGGATGAATAGCTCCTTTATCATTAAGCTGATGTTTCACAATCAGGATGGAGCAATAAAGAGTAAAAGTAAGGAACTAGAGAAGAGGGAAATGACTGCATTGCCTTACATTTGCTCAGTCGTCAAAACTCATTCCTACAGCAGGGTAGGCAAAGGTGTCATCACTGTGGGTCTCACAGCCTTCTTTCCTCTTCCTCCTCCCAGAGTCCCAGGACAGACTCTGGGCCACAGCAGCAAGGCAAGGAAAAACCGTAGACTTATATCAACCAGCCTCTACACAATCCAGAGTCAGTCACTTTTAACATAAAAGTTTAAGTAGCATTACTCCAATAAGAGTTTAAGGAGGACTTTCATTACACATTATAGTTAGGGTAAGTAATATGGCACTTAAAATAATTGAAAGCAAACTGATTCTTCACATGACTTCTAGGTGATCTTTTTAAGCTTACTTTCAGACTTTTAGGATTGGGAGAAAAAAAGACTTTCTTTCTAGTATACCCTAAAACACTCAGCTTGTGAGCTTTGTGAAAGTGTTTGTTAAACATTTCAATAAAAGTTTATTGCAGTGTATTTGTACTGTAATCAGGTGTTGTGAAATCTTCTATTACAGAATGCAAGCTTTAGACAGTATTTGACATAATACAGCCCCCTTAATAATCACTTGAATTGTTGGTATAAACATACCAGTCCGTACATGAATTGAGTCTGTGCTGATAAAAACAAAAACCAAAAACGAGTAGGTTAAGTGGTTAAGATCACCCTACACATCTAACTTTGCAGCCATTCCACACACTTTCCATTACACTTACAGCTAACATAAGGCTGAGATGAACACATGAGCTAACCTGGGTGGGGAACAAGGGCAGCAGAGATCTGTCTCTGAATAAGTCAGTCCTTGTCACCTTTCAGCTTGCTTCTGTAAACAAAATTGAATTGTTAGTTCAACTTGAACATTTCTTGGCATCCTTGCATTTTACCAACAACCATTAAAAGTCTTATATCTGGTGATATTTGCTAAAAAAAAAAATCTACTGTGTTTTAAATTGGGATATTAAAGAGATTATCAAAGAAGTAATTAGAAGAGCTGAATGTGACTCCACAGAACATTAGTGGGCACTACAAAAAGAGAGATAAAAGGCTTTGAAATGAGGTGAAGGCCATGAAACAGGAGGCAAAAGCTGAAAATGGGCTAAGTCATGCAAAATCTCGGGAACTAGTTTGGGGATTCCATGGAAGAAGCTAAGAAGAGCAAAACAGAAGTGTGGATTAGGAAAAAACTACATGTTTTAAAATCAACAACATTCTGGATGAATTGTAAGAGAATACATTTGGGGGGTTAATATGAGAGGAGGGTGATCGGGATTTGCCGAAAGAGAACAGAGATTTATAATGTTTAAAAGAATTAGCAGAACCCAAGAGAAAAAGCATATAGTACTTGACAAAGGACTGTTACAAATACTATTTACAGTATACTTCACAGCTTATTCAGGATGAAAACCTGATGCCCTTACATGATTTTTTTTTTCCTCCCTTCTTTGTATCAGCTGGGCTAGATTTCACCCTGCTGTTCTCCTCTGCAGGAAATGCTACTTCCCTCCTCACTACTTCTCACACAAAACAAGAACAGCAACAAAAGTACAAGTCTAGATGAAAGCAACCAGTGAAGTTTCCAGTTACCAACAAGAGTACAAGAAGACCAAGCTATGTTTTATATTTTAGCTAAACTGGGCTTAAGAAGACAACAATATCTAAAAGTGATCATCAGACCAGCAAGGTCAGACATGGAAAGTAAGGTATAATTGGAAGCAGTACACAGACAAAACAGAAATACACCAGAAGCTAACATAACACACTGAAGAGGGAAGGCCCTCCTCACTGAGGTGTGCAGAGGTACTCAAAACAAATACTTTGATCTGCCCACAGTTTGCCTTATACTACTTCTCCTCACTAACTCTGCACCCATCACCACTCTACAACGCGCTATAGTCCATCCTAATGAACTAACCTATAACTTTTTCCCTGATCATTTTATATTTTAAGAAAAAAATCTTTCTGCAACTTCAGGATCATTTGTGATAAAGGTCATGGAAAAACACTAGCTAAATGATTCCCTCATACCAACGTCAATTTCATCCCAAACTGAGCCAGGGTCTGGATTCTGAATGATATCTACAGCAAGTCAAGCACAGTAGGTTTAAGCTACACCTCAATCCAAACAAGGTTTTTCTCTCAGGGATTTTGGACAGTTTTAGGACAAACTAGACTAAGATTTCAGTGAGATTCCAGTACAGCAAAGGCATCCTCGAAAGCACAGCACGTCTTTCATTCTCCTGACATCCTTCCACAATTTCAAGCCTCCATCCACCATTCCACTCTATACCACAAAATTGTATTTAATGGGGGTACTGAGATGGTAACGACAAGGACACTGCCAACAGAAAGCTCTGCTATCTGAAGCAGACAGAAAGCAGCCACCAACCGAAGGATGAAGACTTAAACCACAAACTTTTAGAATGGAGAACCATACCCTCTCCTAAGCTTGCACAGTATCGATTACGCCAACAGTCATGAGTCATTTTCCCCATCTTCTGTATTTTAGCATTTTAGTAGACTTTTTAATGAATTTAAAAATAAAGTTTTTAAAAAATCAGAAACACAAAGAACATGAGGTCTAGTCAATATAAACATCTCCGAAATAAAGTGCCAAAGGGCTCATTTTCACTGCTGGGGCCCCGCGTATCTGGGCAGCCTATTTTCCACAGTTCACCGTTGCTGGCCACCATCTTTTAATGGACACCACGTCCATAAAAAGACGCCAACCAAGTTCATGCTACTCTGCAATTTAATACATGCTATTGATTAATAATTAGATTTGAAGAGGCGTTCTGCCAGATAAGAGGGAGAGGACGATTAATCCGCCCCGCGTGCTTAGAAAGAGGTCTTTAGGCTGAAGTGGAAGACGGCTGCAAGCATCCCTGGGTGCGAGGCGCTCACCCCTGGGGGGCCTGAACTCTCCTTCAGCTGCCCCGACTGACCCCTCGGACCTGCACTCAGCGCTCGGACAACTCACAATGAGAGCATTCAGTACGGGGGGGGAAAAAAAAAAAAAGAGAAATAAATACGAGTCCAGCCCAAACAGAAGAGGCTCGAGGAGCTCTGCTTCACCTTTCCCTCCTAAGACACGATGGAGCCCCCCCGGGTGGGGCAAAAGCCGCAGCGAGCACCTCGGTGCTGGGCTGGCAGCGAACCGGGGGCTCCCTCCTCGCCCCGATCGCGGGCCCCCGGGGCTCGGAGCTTTCCTCGGGGCGGCTCCGAGCCCGGCGGGGACGGGACCGCCGCTGGCTCTCACCGGCGAGCCCGGCACTGCCCCTGCCCTGCTCCCGTACCCGCTCCCGCTCCCGGTCCCGCTCCCGCCCCGGGGCGCCCGGCGGCACCTGCTGCCGCCCGGCCGCCAGCCCGGTACCTGCAGAATCTTGTCTAGCCCCTCCTGGCCCAGGCAGGGAAACTGCTTGAGCAGCTCCGTCTTCTGCCGCTTGTAGTCGTCGGTGGCCGAGCGCCAGTGCGGCTCCTCCAGCACCTCGAAGATCGCCGCCCCGATGGACAGGTAGAAGATGATGGCCGAGGTCAGCAAGGGGCCCCTGTCCACCATGGTGCCGCCGGCGGGGAGGCGAGGAGAAGAAAGAGGAGAGGAAGAAAAGGGCCGGGGAGGGAGGGCAGGCGGGCGGAGCGCGGCGGGCGGACCGGGGAGGTTGCCCCGCGTTGCGGCCGTGGGTGCCCGCGGCCGCCCCTGACACCTCTGCCTTGCCCCGCCGTGCGCCGCGCCGCCTCTCCCGGCCGCTGCCGCTTTCCCTTAGAGCCTTCCACACTCCCCTCCCACTCTCCTCCTCCCTCGCTTCTCCTCCTCCGCTCCGCTCCTCTCCCCCCGGCTTGCCTCCTTCCCCCGTTTTTGTTTTTGTTTTTTTTTTTCTTTTCGTTTTTTTTTTTTTTTTTTTCTTTCTTTTTTCCCTCCCCTCCCTCCTCAGCAGCGTTTTGAATTTGGTGCCCTCCCGCTTCCTCCCCCCTTCGCCCAGCCCCAGCGTGCGCATGCGGCCGGGGGAGAGGCCGGCGGGGCGCCCCGAGGTGCTGCCCCCGGCTGGCCCCAGCTCTGGTCTCGGTCCTGGCCCCTATCCTGACCCCAATCCCGGTCCCGATCCCGGCCCTCACCCGCCCATGAGGGGCCGCACCGGGGAGAGGAGGGTGCGCGACCTCCCCGCCGCCGTTGGGAGCGGGTGTGGGGGCCGCCGAGGTGAGCTCGGCCCCGCTTCCCTCGGTGACTTTTTGTTATCGTCGCTGTTAACTTGACTCATCCGGCCAGGTTCCCCGGAGGTTTTCGTTGTCGACGCTGAAGGTTGTGAAATGAGGCGTTCGGCAAAGCGCTGGAGGAGAGGCGGCAGCTGCTCTTGAGGACAGAAGAGGGGTGATGGGCAGGCTTTGCCCTTGCCCTGGGATGTTGTCCCTGGGTGTTATGGACCCTTCATCACAAGAACAGCATCTCTCTTTGGATCATGCATTTTGTACACTCAATAAATCACACATTTCTGTATGCACCCATGTGTGTGGGCCTGGGAGTTTCATGAGATGTTCAAACACACTGGGGTGAAGTTCGCCAGCTTGCCGTACTCATGGAGCCCTTCCCAAGAGTCTCTCAAAGCCGCACTCCTCCACAGTCGTACATCAGGGCTGCTGGAAGTGGAGTTGAATGGTCATAGAAAGATCAAGTCAGTGACAAGATAAAGCTGTGTGTTGCACGACGTGGCAAAGGGCTCCTGGTGTGCATGCAGTTCGTGTTAGGAATGCTGTTATTGTGGCATAACTTAATTCCCCGATTCCCCTAACCCTCTTCCCCCTGGACAGCAAGAAAATGGTCAAAAATGCAGAGATGTCCAAAAGATTTTAAGGTGCTTAGGTATGTCAGCTGGAGTCCACACACCAAAGGGCTGAAGTTAGTCCGCTGAAATTCTCATGCGACCCTAATTGAAACAGGAGGAAGGAGAATGGAGAAAACTGGAAAGAAGAAGGAAACAAGGAGAAAATACGCAATAGAGTATGAGAAAGGAAAAAGGAGAACATGTGGAAGGCAAAAGAACTGCCTCGGTTAGGAGGTATCCAGAGACACCTATCTGTAAAACTTTGACTCATGCCAAATGGATGCTCTTGTGAGACTGCCCACAGAAATTTACATGGCCCTTAAGCAGTCCTTCCTACTAGCTTGTACAATGCTCGATGAAAATACATCTGCCAGAGGTTCCTGGCAGCTTAAAAAGCAGGACTGGAGAAACCACAAAATCCACAAGCATGTTACGTGATCAGCATCGCATTTTTTTTTTTTTTTCATGGGATTCCCCAGTTATGTAAAGGCAACATTAAGAAGACAAAAGGATTGCCAAACTGTAGTAGTAAAAAAAAAAAAAAAAAAAAAAAGTAATCGTGCTAGAAGAGAGATCAAGTAGAAGGTGGTAGAAGGTGGCACAATACACATTTTAAAAATAATGAATGGTATAGGGAAACTACAATAACTTATTTTAAAGCAAAAATGGGGGGTGTTTCGTGAAGTTGTAAGGCAGAACTCTTAATTAATAGGAAAAGAAGGGTTTCATGATGCATGATTATTGCAGGAAAATTATTCCCAGGTGCTATCATTTGGCTCAAGAGCTTTGCAAAACTTGAAAAGCCATTGGCCATATAAATGAATAATGTGAACATCTATCATTGCCTTACTTAAGGATTTAAAATTAAAGTTAAAAAGGGTAAGGTATGAAAAAAACTCAAAGCAAGTGACTGAAAGCATTAAGCAAGAAGTTTCCCATAGGGTGAACTATGATATAATTCTACTTCTGGTGTTCTCGCACCTTCTTCTGAATCACCTGCAAGTGGTTAGGATATTCCAACAGCAGGAACAGTAGTCTGACACGTTATAGCAGTGTTTCACTTGTGTGTTCCTGACCCTGAACATCTGTGCTTCATAACTGGAAGGTATTTGATTAAATTTTGAAACTGTACTCTTCTCCATCTGTCTCCGAGTCTCTAAAGGCCCATTTATACCATTGAAACTCTATCTTAAAGGGATGAGGAATGACACAAATGACCCTGAACCTACTGCAATTATATAAGCACGGATGAGAACACTTTCAGGCATATTATAGAAAGTTTGTTTGCAATTTTGATTCAACATTTCTGCTTTCCACTCTAAACTCTCAATCACTGATTGCTTAATTAGTGCTCTCAGTAACTGAGTCAGTCAGTGTTTAAAAACAAACAAACCTGTAGATCACACACCATTTTTCCGCGTGTTGAAATGCTATTGCACTTGTTAGACTGTCTCCTTGTGTTTCTCTAAGTTCCAAAGAGATGATCCCGGTAAGGATAATACCGTCTAGAAGAATAGTTTATTCCCCAATGAACAGTAGCCAACTACTGCAGTTAGTAGCGATCCTCTCAGTATCAACAAACTTCTTGCATTAAGGTGTTTTACTTCTTTTCTGCAGAGCAAATTACAAGGCATTTTTTCATGCTGCTATCCAAGTGAGTGTGGTAAGAAAGAATGTTTCTGTAGCTGGCCTCTCTTTGCACCTCCTGATTTAAAATGCCTCTCCTGACCTCATAAAAGATCCCATATCCTTTTATTCATGGCCCTTTTATACTCTCTGTTTCCCTTGGATTAAACAGTACCCCTATTGTTAACCCACAGCACCTGCCACATAGGCCCCACAGCTTTTCATGCTAGCTAAATTAATGAAAAGTCTAGGGTTATTCACTCAAAGGCTTTTAAATCTCATTAAAAATCGGGGGAGAAACAGCAGATAGCACTCTGGTGAGCAATACCACAAGTATCAATCATTTGTAGTATTTGCATAGGTCATTATTCAGGCTGTCCAGTCCAAAAGGAAATCTCTTTCATCCAAGCTGTATGTCTAAGACACATTTGCTGTACAGATGTTTCCTAGAACAGCCTGAAATGAATGAATAAATGTCAAAAAATGTTTTAGATGGAGCAAATAGAAGACATTATTTGGGCAAAGGGAACCTGTCATGTAGTGTCAAAGACTGTGTTGAACTGAGTACGAACAAGGAAAAACTGATTAGGTCTCTTCAAGCCTGTGCTATTTTTCACTTGGAAGTCTATTTTTGGCTCGTTGATGCCCCTGTTCTAGATGATACCTGTCAACTCTGCGTCTTTTGGTTTTCTTTATCCATCGCAATTTGGGCACCTCCAACATCGCTTTCAAGTGTTACACATCTAGCTGTAGTTTTAAGAAAGCTGAGGGGTGTACTATCGTGACTAGCAGTTCTGCTTCTTTAGTACAGTTGGGTGTGTACAGAAAGGGTAAGGCTGGTCTGCAGATGATGCAGAATTTTATATGAGACATTTGCAGAAAGTTCAAAAATTTTTCCATGCGTTCATTCACACCTTTTGAACTAAATATTTATACATAGCACATTTTGTGCCCATGTGTGCCATGAACGCACAGTAACATATTCTAAGTATGAAAAAGAATGAAAACCTTACCAAAACAATGCACATACCAGTGCAACAGACTTCTTCACCCATGGGCAGATAATGAGTGAACAAACACCACATGACAGATGTTAGTCATACTGCTTAATGAATAACTGGTGATGAGTACAATACCTGTGTGGAATGGCTGTAATGTGTTCAAGGAAAAATACACATTTGGACCATGTCTTTTGCACTGGGATACCCACAGTGTTTGAGAGAAATGTCTTCATCAGGAAGTCCAGATATTTCAACATTTTTTCGGTGTGTACTTCCTTGACTGCCTTGCTCCTCAGCCATCCACAGCTGTCTTGGGATCTTCACAACTGGATGATGAAACCTCATTTCCTTCAAAATATGTTACAAAGACTCTGGCCTTGTATTTTGACTTTCCCGTGCCCTGAATCTTGTAGCTGAATGCTGGTAGTACCAAATGCTTCTGATAGTCCTTGACTCGGACATGTATGCCAGTGATCTGGAAAGTTCAGAGTACAGCTTTATATATATATATAAAAAAATAGTTTGGATAGTTTCAGTCCTGGACAGGGTTTCATCATCACGATACCTGGAGCATGTTAGTATTCTAGATGGTGTGCTCGAGGCTGGCTGAGCACCATGGCAACAGAATAATGCAATGTTCTGTGATTTTGTTATGTAAAACATCACTGCCATGTCTTATTTTGGAGTGATTAAGAAGGAGTTAAATTCTATTTGTGTACAGTAATATAGATGTAACATTCCTCTGAGACTTGCTTCCCAAACCAGTTTAAATTTGCTTGCATCAATCTTGTGTCACAGCACGAAAAGACTTCTCCTGTGTTATGGTGAATGTGCTGGGCAGACCACAGGACAGAATTCAAGGAGCTGTGACCTCCCCTGTCCCACAGTGGGGTTGCTCAGCGGTATGTCTGTATGCCAGTTTGTGCAACGGAGGCCCTTGTGCAGGACTGGGCAGTTCCCACATCCACGCCGGGCTCCATTCCGTGGCCGGCATGTAACCCTCATGTTTCGTTAGTCAACGTTACCACCTGCTACAAGGAGCTGTTCCCACCTACATCTTCCCTTTATAGAAACAGAAGTTGCCACATTAATTTTAGCAGAGGAAAGGCAGAGAGGTTGATGGCTTTTCTTATCCATCTTGAGCGAATACAGTCTTGTAGACAAGTGAGGACAGTTACACACCTCAAAAACATTGAAAAAGAGCACATTTTTATCATATATTCTATTTGTCCAAATCAACAGCCTGTTAGGTTAGCCTGGGTCATAGCTGGGGAAAAAAAAAAAAAGTTTGAATGAGCTAGTGAGAGAGTTGGTTATGTGCTGTTAAAGAAATATATATTTAAGAATTTTTCTATATGGACATTTGTTGCTTTTGTGTGTGGTATCTTGTAATGGAAGAAGGGTCACGACCCATGCTGTCTCCAAGTACATGCTTCTTCCTTTGAAGCTGAGTCCCTGGCATAGTCTACCTCTGCAACCTGTGAACCTCTTCGCTTGTCACATTACATTGTCCTTTCTGATCCCTCCTCCATGTGTGTGGTATCAAAAAAATGACAGCAAAGGCTGAACCATAACACCCACAGCTGTCCTGCATGAGAGTCACTATGCAGGCTGCTTGTGGTTCATAACTTACAGTTAGTATACTTCTGGACCATTACTAGGAAGGAAGTACTGAGGAAGTTGTGGAGGGAACTTGGATTTCAGTGCCTGTTGCCCTCCAATGGTGCCTTTCACATGCCAAGACCCAGTGTAGAAGTAGCAAGAGCCAGGTCACCAATAGATATGACTTCAGGGAAGCAACCTAAAGTTAGAACAGTAGGAAAACCTCCACCTGGTTCTAGTGCCTCAGTCAACAAGCTCTAACTTACACTGGGCCTTGTCTCAAGATGAGCACCATGCTGTTGGCTCTCAGTGGCTTTGCCAGGATGCATTGCGGGGTCACAGTCAATTACAAGATAATCCATGACTGGAGGCAAGTCAGCTGCTGAAGGTTTTCCTCAGTTTGTGTAGCAATTTAGTACTGCTCTGTTCTTTCTGTCCAGTGGCCCTGTTGGTCTCAGAGCAGAGCAAAATCTGAGGAAACTGGGAAGCAGTGTGTGAAAGGAAGCAAATTAAAACCGGCCACGCTGCTGCATGTGACAGCGGTGTGCCCTTCAGGAGCTCTTGGGGAATTCCTGGTAACTCAGATCGGAACAACCTGTGGGAACAATGAGGTGTGGGAGAGGCCTGACAGGAGTCAGAGTTGAGGAAAAGCAGACAGTATGTGAATAGACAACCTTTAACAACACCTAAGGATCTGCTAAAATTGTGAAAATCTTCGGAGCAATTGGTGGGGAAGGGGGAGAGAAGACAAAAGGTCAAGGAAACTTTAAGATGAACTGACGTGGTGCTCTGTAAGGCACCCAAATGGAGGTGAATATCTGTACCTGCTTCTTTCTCTCAAGAGGAGTGTCTGAGCTGGCCAGAAGTCCCCAGCGTATATTGCATTGCCAACAAGCGTTATAGAAACTAATGGTTAGCAGGCTGTTAGAGGTTTCACAACTCACTCCCATTGAATATTAGTTATTTATTTTGCCAAAGAGAGAAGGGGAAAAGGGGAGGAGGAGGAAATAAAAACTACATAGCGTGGTTCAGTTATTTGAAAAGGCTGAGTCAGTTAGGAGATGGGTGAACTCTGTAGAAGTCAGTGCTTCAGTCAGGAGAGAAAAGTCAGTGCCTTCCTTGCATGTATTTAAAATTTCTTTGGAACAATGAATCTATGCAAATAATGTAATCTGTAAACATTTGCACAGTTTAGCAGCCTTTGTTCAAAAACTCTCACTGACAGGGAATACTTGCAACGATAGATTCCCCAGGTTGGGAGCCTGTCTCTTGGTCTGCCTCAGCTTTTCCCCTTGCTTCACTCCCTACTCTCACCCCCAATCTTTTGCAATTCAGTGACAATCACAGTTAATAGAAGGTGTGTCTGTGATCCTATAAAGCAATTTGCATCATCATCTTTTGTGATGAAATTTTCACAGGGAAGGAGGAGCAGCAACATTTTGCCCAAGTTAAGGTTACACTGGCAATATACCAAGCAGCCCGAAGCACTTAATTTTCATGAGAGATCTGATTACAGCAGCCCGTATTTGAGTACAGAAGTTTGTCCTGCAGAATCTGCAGCCCATGTGCTGCTTCCAAGGTAAGTCTAAATGCAGTCTGGAGCTTAGAGTCTTGCATTACAGCCATTGTGTCACAAGCACGGGTACACGCTAGGGTTGCCTTGCTGAAGTTACCACACGACTGCCACCTTTGCCTTACCACAAACACCATTTTTCTTAGCTGGGTTGAAGAAACTGCATTGCTTTCACTAAACACAAGCCACCAGAACCTGATGGCTGACGTTAACTGTGTTGTATGTTATTTCAGTTTGTGTCTATTATAAACAGATGACAATGCAACTCTCATTTTAACTAAAGGAACTGATAATTGACACAGCGCTATTAAAGCATAACAAACATGCAATGTCTCAGCCAGTTGAATAAAAGAACTGTCAGAAATGTCTTTCTTCTGCTGGGCTGCCTAGCACAAATACAGCAGCCTTGCTTATTAAAAGGCCTCATTTAGTTTTGGGCTTGTCTCAACACTAGTTTTACAAGCACTTGGGACAAGATCATTAAACCTGCATATATCAGCTGAAGACCTGCCTCTCAAATTTCCTTCTAATGCTGGGAAAGGCCCTAGTTACACAATAATATATTAACTAACAAACAATTATTCTCAGCAGTGGGAAGTGAGGTATTTTGCAGCTCTCTGGTGGAGTGTTCAGATACCTTATATGAAATCTACAGAGATTAAATTCCTTAGCCCTTCTTTATAGTTGGACAGCTTGCAGGGCATGCTGCAATGTTGGCATCCAAATCTGCTTGGGGAGCAATGTGGAAAGATTAAAATTGGAATACCCATTATCATGATAATGTGTGGAAATCTGGCATCCCTTAACAGAGCAGTGTGGGAAGTACATTACTGGGGCTTACAAGTAAGGCAGAGAACAGATTTTGATACCTAACATCACTAATATGGAAGGGTGGGAAAAGCCTGTATGGTCCTTCATTGGCAAGGCACAGTAGGAAGCATGCTTTAGCAGGGAATGGATGGGCATTGTGAAGGAAGATGGAGCCTACAGGAAGGGTTGTGCATGGGTGAGAGGTCACACTAGCAGCTTGATAGTTTGCCCATGCGTGCGGAAGCAATATGCACCCTTCAGTTAGTCACTGCACTGAATTATGTTTTCAGTTGTACCTTGTGGAGTGAATAGCAAATAACTTTAGACTATAACACTGTCCAATCTGTTCCCCCATATGCACTCCTTTTCCAAAGAATACTCCGTACCATGCAGTAATGAGAGCATTCAAATAACAATGGAAAAAATGACTCTGATATTCTGTTGAACTAGCTTGAAAGCTGCATGTCCAATTCTCTGCCTTTTTTGGTCAGTCTCTTTACACCATTTATGCCTGGTTTTAAACAGACTGGATACGATAAGAGATTCCAGCACACCTGATCCAGTTTTTAAGCTGAACTCCACAGAAAGGCAGACATTATTCAGTCTCAGAGGGAAAGGAAAAAAAAATAATAGAACTTTCCCTGTTCCCAGCACATTTATATTTCTTAAAACCATCAACATGATATGAGAGTGGGACTCTACACATGAACAGGAATTCAGGACACAAGAGATCATGTCTTTCTATAGCACTATTATCTCACATATGGGAGGTCACTTCCAGGCAATATATCAGAACTCACAAGCTGTCTTCTAAGCACCTGCGAAAAACCACTGAAACCAACACAGGCCACCTGTGAAGTGCAAAGCCATCAGCCAAAATGCCACATTCACAAAGCTGAGTTATAAAGCCCTCTACAGTCCTCCAAATTCTAAAGGTTTATTGTTCTTCTGGGGTGAGCTTCTGGCACACAACTTACTCCCTTTAAGTGCTGAAATTTTCTCATATTCTTTTTCTTTTCACCGTATCCTGTCTGTGGCCAATCCTGCAGCCAGTTTGCCTTCTGGCTGGATAAATTGCCTCCACTGTAATCCCAACATTTGCTGGGCCAATGGAAAAGATAGTGGAGCCAGATACATAGGATAAGAATGGTATGGATATTCACCACAGGGTTGTGCATAGCACAATAACAAGTGAAGTTCTTCCCTGTGTTCATGGCCACAATACAGTTTATACAACACTTGAGCTCTACTTAAACCACTGCTTGGCTGTAGATAACACATAAATCTTACACTTCTGCATGTGGAAGAGTTTTGATTAAGGATTACTGGGGGGGGAGTAGAGATCTTTATTTTTTCTTCTTGCTGGGAAGTACCCCTGAGGTACTTCCCTTGTGCCCACTGAACTGCAAAGATAAAGAATGGACATTGCAAATACTACAAGAGGAGAAAGCTTTTACATCACCCCTCTGTCCTGTTTAAGTGGTCCACCTCCATGCATTGTTCCTGCTTGGGCAGTGCAGTTTCTGTTCAGAAATGTTCCTGCTTGAGAGTTTGCTATGTGCAGCAATAATTAACAGAACATTTGTCATGTTCAGAGCCTGGCATGGTGCATTGTTCTGCTTTTCCAACCTGCCATGAAAGGGCTCAGCTGAGTACAGTGGCTGCAATGACATGGGTCAAGGCTCCCAAGTACACTCGCTGAAGCAAATGTATTTCTCCAAAAATAGTGCTTCAGAATAGGAGAATCACAAAACAGCAAGCATTTCACTGAAAAACAAACTGCCTGTAATTCTTTCAGTTTTTTGTTCTCCTTTTGGTCTACAGAAGAACCTATTTCCTCTGTTGGAAGGAACTCTGTTTATGCAGGGTTTGGGTACAAGTCTTTCATGCCTCTAAAACCCTCCACATCTTATAGACAGACAGGTGTCATACTGTCTTCTCAGACACTTTTTATCCTTGATGCAAAGCAAATCTCACTCAACCCTTTGCAGACCTCTGAACTGTCAAAGGTCTGGAACAAAGAGACACCCCGGTAATTGCATCACGTGAATGGGGAGGAGGTTGGAGGGAGTCATCACTCGAGAATGCATGCCCGCATGTCAGCTCCTAAACGGGATCTGGCACTGGACATGTTAGATCACGCACGGAGGAGATGCACAGGGTACACTGCTGCTGGCAGATGCATGCTGCTAAGCCGGGTTGCTTTGAAGGTAAGTCCTGGCAGGGTCTCTTCCACCTGCCCCAGCTCTGGTCTCATTTACGCATGGGGGTGCCACCAGGAGGGATAAGCACAGTGGAGGAGCAGCAGAAGAAGCAAATCTCATCCTAAACACCTCAGGCTCAGCAGGGCTCCTCTTGCCATCTACCAGTGGATCAGGTCACTGCCATCACAGTCACAGAAATAATGACCAAGGTTGACTGTTCCTTTAGAAAATGTAGAGATTTCATTTTGGCATGGACTGAAACACATATCTTTGATGTTGTTTTACTTGCCAAATAGCTGTAACCTCTCAGCCTTCAGTTTCTTTTTACCAGATCAACCCAACACCTTCTGTAATACCCTGAATATGCTGTTTTGTATCTTACTGCTGTAAGGTTAGTCTATTTGTGCTAGAACAGAGTTCTCTTCATGAGAAACTTACCATACAGGTTACTAAATTCCTAGTGGCTTCCTCACAAAGCAAATATTCTTGCCCTTTCCCTAGAAAAACATTGAAACTGTCAAGGGATTAGTGTACATTAAAGAAGAAAAAAAATGTAGTGAGAAGGTTGGAGAACACAGGCACTCTTTGGGTTCCTGTGGGGCAGAGCCAGAGTACTGAAGAACACTTCTCTTCAGGCTCAAACACATAAACTGTGGCTCTCTGTACTCTCAAAGTGGTGTCAGTAATTGCAGAAGTGTGGAAAGGGAGAGGAAATCTGATGGTGTAAGCCAAAGGAAGGAGAGGCATTGAGACGAACAGTGCCTCTTCAACCAGCAAGAAAAAGAGGAACCACCAGCTCTGTTTCTGTGCTCACAGGATGCTCCTCCCAACCTCAACTTCATTTAAACTTTTTTTTTTTTTTTTTTTTTTTTTTTTTTTTCAGAGAGGTAGTTACACATATCCAAAGAGAGGATTCATTTGTGCCACAGACAGAGAACCCCTGCAGTCAGGAAGGGAGGGACGTGAGAAATAGCTGAGTTTCATTACCCCACATTTTGCTTTGAATTTGATTAAGTCCACGTACATTCAGAACCAGAGTTTTGGAGCAGGCCCATCTCTGTTCTCAACTCACTTAGACTTTGTTGTTATGGACTTTTTATCAAACAATACTGTGTGCAAGATATCTTCAAGGTAAAAATCATAGAAACAAAGATTTCTGGAATGAACACACAAGGATCATCATGTCCTACTCCTATGTGTAGAAATGTAGAAAAATGAGTTGAAAATGCTGTTAATAAATTAATTGTTTAAAACACTTTAAATAATATGGTTAAGAAAGCTTAACCATGGTTAAAGAGAATTTAACCATGTAGTTGTGCACACTGGTGCAGATAACCATGTCATAAGCTCAAGCACTCTTATGTTAAAGGGGTTAAAACAAGCTGGAGTTGTCAGGAGTTGTGGACAGAATGTATTTCATCAAATGAAAAGGAGTACAAAGTAATTAAGGGCTGAAAAAGCTTTTACTCTGCTCTGAGTTGCAAACAGAGCAAAATTTTCCCCAAAAAAATGCTGTCAGAAGCTCTTTGAAGGAATATAACAGAAATGAAATTACTAAATACTTTTATACCTTTTATATATTGATCCTAAAATAATTTATAAGCATTATTTAGCACAAACTACAGCTTTGTGTTATGTGAGTGCATTTTCCCTAGGTCATGAGACTGAGAAAAAGAAAAACAACAACAACAACAAAAACAGTACAACAAAAGTGGATAGGAAAGGGGAAGCAAGAGAAGGACTGTGAGAAAAAGGCCAGGGAATCCATCAGGACTGGGGCCTGTTCGTGCTGGATGATATCCTCTGTCACCATTATTCTCACTAATTTACCTCAACAGCATGATGTCAGGTTACATATTGTTATGGCTCTATACAATGTCTTTTTTTAGACTGTTAGCTGCCTTCTCTTTGAATGCTCACCAGGTTTACTCAAGGGGGTATTAATGTCCCCCTTCAGAGAAGCCCAAGCTGTATTATCATGCTCTAGGAATAGTTTCTGAACTCAGTTCCAGTTGCTGCTTAGGTACTGTAATAGGCTGTGTCTGTCAAGCCATCCCTTCTAACTTTCCCAAGCAGTGAATGTTTGTGCAGTCTTTTACGTGTATGTAATTACAATGACACATGATTGAGATATGCTTTAAAAAGTCATTTTATAGAAAGCCTCTGTATTCTTACTCAAGAGAGGTTACTTCAGTTTCTCTCTTGCCACGAGAACCTTCCATATAGGAGATATATGGGTCTTTTCATATGGGAGAAAAATTAATAAAGGGAACATTGTAACTAAGGAGATGTTGCGAGATGAGCGACCTTTAAAGGCTCTCTCTGATAAACCAGGGAAATGATTGCCGACCACTTGTTGCTCTGGGAAAGATGTTCTGAGTTTCCCCACCCAATAAAGGCTGGGTCCGAATATTTGTTGTCAGTTGCTAGAGAGCCTGTAACTTGACATAATCAGGCGCTGATGTCAGGGCTTCATGGCTAATACTGAGCTAAGATCTTGCCAGCATTTATAGTTAACCTGTTTGTACTACATATTGATAGCACGAAGCAAACTTAAGTCAATGTTTACCTCTACTGTTAAAGGCAAGGAGACAGAGGACAGTTGGTGGCTCAAAGAGGGCTTGATAGCCAAAGACTAGTGTCCTTGTAAATCTGATAAATAACAGACAGTCCAAATTTTTGTAAGAGCTCCAAGGTTTCCTGTGGGATTCCTTTAGATAAGAATTTGAAGGGCACTGGTCACTTCTGAAGGTACATTCCCCTCTCAAGGTCCAGCATATGAGGAGAAACAACACTTAAAAAAAAAAAAAAAAAAAAAGAGATAAAGGATTTGGCCCCTCATTGCATAGGGATGGATTCTCTACAGTCTCTACAGTAGAAGAAGCATGTCATCAGTGGACGTGTAAAGCAAGAGGAACAACTAAATATGATAGTGGTGAGTAGAAACATAAAAAGCAATGGAACTGAGAGGAAAACAAAACAAACAAAATAAAGTAATAATACAAAATAAACAAAACAAAACACTGAAATATATAGCCTCCTCACTCAGAATCATGCCCTAAATACACAGTACTGTCTGAAACTAGTGTGTGCAGTAAAGTATCTAAACACACTTACTGCACACTTAAATACTTTCCAGATCCAGCATAATATCCTTTAATAGGAAAGAGATGCCAATCCTGAACCTGTGATCAGAGCTCAGGGTGATTGTCTTAGAGAAGCTTCCTGAAACCTTCTTGCCTCAGGTTCAAAGACTGATCAAATGTTTAGGCTCAAACTAATCAAGTTTAGTACATTCTTGAGAGATTATTTTCTCTCTTTCATAGCTCTCCCCTGAGGTACATTAGTCATAAACTCAGAAGAACACCTACATTGCATCCACACAATTTGAGGTAGATATTAAAATTGACCCCCACCTGAGCACATCAACCTAGTAACTGTTCAATTAGTTATCCAATTTACATGTGTAGATCAATTTTGCATTCATAGATGGATGAGAATGTGTATTTAGGAGGGGAATCTGAAAACGGTTCTATTACATTCATTTCACCTAACAAGATTTTATCATGTTAATTTATAAGCCTATGTGTTTATGTAAAGTGCTTTTATATATATATACAACTAGACAGATTTTTTCTGTGTTCACTTTACTCCTGAAGCCGTAACAACGCTTAGCCAATTGAGAATTTGATGGTAGAGAGATGTACAAGACAGTCTTTGCTTGTCACATCTTGGGAAAGTGATTGGGGCAGCAAGACTAGCAACTTCTTCAAACTCTGCTGTCCTGTGAAAATGGTTGCTTCCATACTCTGGGTGTTTGCATTTCAGTTCACTCATCACTGCAACTTTTACTTTTTTTTTTTTTTTTTTTTTTAATACAAATGTTCAGGTTATGCAATGCACTGTTCAGATTTTATATTGTCAGAGTTTAGAAAGGAAATGTGTGATCAGTCCCACTGGCCACTTACTGGCACTGGGTTGTTAGCAAAGCATTGCATGTGTGCTGAGTTTCTGGCACCAATTTTTTGCATTATTTTTTTAGAGAACAGACAAATGCAGTTCTGAATTTTGCAGCCAAATGTAGGAAAATAAGGTGTCTTAACATTTGAAACTGCCAACTCATTGGCAGTACTATCAGTTGATGTAGTATAATCACAAATGAAAGTACTTTTGTGTGATCAGGCCAGGATAAAATTGGGTGGTTACTATAACTGACAATTCACTTAGAAAATTCAACAGTCATTGATGCCTCATGGACACAGGCACTTCCCTACAGTCAGATGCTTTAATTACAATCTTCTGTTTACAAAGAAGATCCCCAATATTATTTTCATTTTCTACATGGCTAAGAACTCCAGAAGAGGTATTTTTAGAAGTCATCCTACATTTCATGTTTGGTGGTCAGGTTGAAGTTTAGGTAGCAGTAATGGCACACCTAGGCTTTTCAAATTCTTCTTAGGAACCACAGAGCTACTACTAGGAGCTGTGAATATGGCTTTGTCTATATGCCTGTAGGCATGGGTTTATAATATAGGTTTATAGATTTATAGATTTAAATATTGCCTGTCAGATAAAGACAATTAGTCAATATAAGATGTTAGGAATTGATCAAACCACTTGACTAATTCTCCAGTGGCATCTCTCCAGTGTCGATCTAGTTTTGGATTAAGGGAAATGTATTTAAATCTAATTATGTTACCACATGGCTTTTTAAAATCTGAATCTCAGGGATTCCCAGCAAATGTTGGGAAAACATAAAAAGATCTACAAAAAGTCCTTCAATCATAACCCCAGAAACATTTCAGTACTTTTTCCTTTTAGAAAAAAGGGCAAAAGTATGCCCCCCAAATTCATGGATCCTCTTTGCACACACATACACATAACAACAGAAATTTAGGAAAGATAAGATTTAGAAAAAAATAAAAATGTACCAGTGAGCAGACACCTGGTGTAGCACTTCAGCCAACTAGGAAAAGGAAACTTGATTAACTGAGGTTTCTGCCTCCTAAGAACACATTTTCATGGTTTGCAAATTTCCAATTCTAACACCCTAGAAGGTGTTAGGAGTCAAAAAAGTCTTTGCTAAAGACATTATGTTTCCTTTCCTCCTATCCTCTCACATCATTTAATCAGAGACTGATGCCAGTAATTCAAATAAACAGAAATAAAAACCTCAAAGTAAAACATCCAAGATTTCCAAAGAGTCCTGAAGGTAAATCAGTCATAAAAAACTAAAGTTGACAATTCCACTTGGCTCCAGATTCTCACAAAAAACTAGAGAGACTATTGTTTTCCCTTTGTAGATCACTTTATGGTCAGGGTATGCTACTTCACTTGAAAATTTCAATTCTAAAAAAGGGAATTGTCAAACAGAGTATTAATCTTGCCCACTGATTATTTCAGAAGGCATGCTGTTATGGGTACTTTCTGTTCTTTTCTGGCTTTTGGCTGCTGCTGGCTGCCCTTGCTTTTATTGCTGGGAGATAGCTTTATCGTAGGAGCTTGCTGTGTTATAGTGCTGCTTCCTACTGGTGTGCTCTTCTTTAATTTCTTCAGCTACTGTCTAATGTTTATGCCACTTACAATATGTGAATGGAAACTGAAACAAGGACATAAAAGATATTGATACCTTCTTTTATTCCCCTACTTCTTCTTTACTATCACATTTATTTTAATTTGCTATAGAAATGTACTGCATTTGTGTTTACTCTGAAAGAGCTTAAAATTTTGGGAACCCGTATGTTAACTAAGGAACTAGGAAAGTTTTTTCTGTTATTTTGTTTTGAGCAAGTGTTTTTCCATCCAGCACTATCTTCACAACCTCATGATGTCTTTGACAGATGAGATTATTCATTTCACTGTTTCTCCAGTGTGGATTACTTAGGGTATATTGTGGTATTTTGGTCAGAGGCATGACTTTAACCAGCACAAACACATAGCTGAAACCTACAGGAAGACTGCAACTGAAAGAAGTATATATGATGTTCTCCTTTTTCTATGGTATTGACATACTCTGACATAAACACTTCACTACCCATATAACTTCATCCACACTTCAGAAGATAGTTGAAGAAGTACAATTTCTGGGTGAAAACTTGGCCCAAATGGCTTTTTCATAATTTCTTTTAAACCTAGTTGGCTATCCTGGTCAAGGCAAAATTGTGATTCAGTTCCATTACGTATATAATTTTGTTTAAGTGTTTTCTTATAAATAAGTGTATTTTAAACCCTGAGTTAATTTCAGATTAAGTGTTCTACTGCATAGGGATTTAGGTAAATGCTTAATAGTTCTGTTGAATCAGAAGCCAGTGAGTTAATGAATCCTTACGTGCTTTTATAAGTTCTTCTTTTAGACTACATATTCTCAGGCTCAAGAACTACTGATGATTCAGCACAATGATTATGACACTTATTTTATACCAGGAGATGCATTGAATGATAGCATATATTTAAAATAGAAGCTATATTATAAAATCCCCCACTATATGATAGGAGGACAGAATCAAGAAAAGGAGCACCCTTGTACTGGGAAGGTAATAGTCTGAAGACAAATGGATAACAAGAATCACGTTCAGAGAAATTGTATATATTTGGATTAACCATAAAATCTCTGGGAGGTGACCTGATACTGAAGGGGAGTGTCATTAGCACCTAAAAGATAATTTTATCTACTCTGACTTCAAAGGAAGAGAATGATGAGAATCTTTTTGAGGGTTACCTTTAATTAATGGCAGCATGTGGCTTGCTTAGAATCCAACTAGCAGGTCTGCAAACCAGTCAAAAACTTGGGCTTACATGTACATGTCTTTAGCTCCATGTCAGCATCACAAGGCTGTTTCTGCAGCTCTGTGTCTCAGGTTTAGCCTCCAGACTCTTTCAGATCCCCTGCTATCAGCCCCGCTTTCACATTTTGTTTCAGAACTAATAGTCTAAAAGTTTTCTTTACTCCCTGTCTTCCAGGTCAAGTCTTGACAGAGACCATCTCTGAGTGTTGCTGTTGGAAATATGAAACTCTGTAAAATGAGGTCTCTCAGCTGGAAAGAACGTAAGGCTCTCAGAAGTGGTGGGTGATCACATTGTGCCACATCAGTATTCCTATTTTAAAAGTATGTGGCACCAAATGGTATAAATGTGTTAGATGCCAATGGTATGAATAATGTTCTTGGCTGTACCAGTCCTATCTGATTGTGCAGCATAGGAAAAATGTTGATATTTGTATATTTAATTTATTTATTGAGTGTAACCCTTTTCTCTTGCAGAATTTATTGCAGCTAACTCTAGTAGAGAGAGATCAAGGGAAACAGGTACTACATATGCAAGTCTAGGCTCTGGTAGATAGAGGAAACAACAATTAAATTAATGAAATGCATGATGATTCAGAAGTTTACTCATTTTCTACTCAACACTTGATGAAGAACAGCAAGTATAAGGAAAATAATGGGAATTTATCTGTGCTAAGGTCTAAGGATTTGTTCCTAGATACAGAGAAACCATCTCAATCGAAACTAAAGTGCAACAGCTACATCTTTCATCCCAGAAGGGGTGACAGTGAAATCAACTATGTGGTTATCAGAGCAAGCTGTTGCTGCCACTTCTCAGCTAAGATAGAAAGAAATTTGACCAAAGAAAGCATCCCAGACCACTTAGCTGTAAGCACATACTACTTTGATTGTTCCAGGTGGAAAATGCTCACCATGTGTGGACAGTCTGATTGTGTACACTGATTTGAAATCAACTAGACATATCCAAGCCCTCCACCACCACCACAAAAAAAAAAAAAAAAAAAAAAAAAAAAAAGTGAAAAAAAGTGAAAAAAAGCTGAGGTCTGGCAGAGCAAACAAGGATTTAAGACTGAGATTTCTCATTTCAGTAAGGCATTAGCAATCTGTGTCCAAAAGTCATTTTATTTTCCCAAACAGAGGAAATAATTTTGCAACTAATGTTCACAAAAATCTAAACATATGTCCTCCCTTGTCCTAACACTTTCCACTTCTTGGAGCAGTTCCTTAAGTAAACCTACATTAACACAGCTATAGGTATGTTAGGCAAGTAAGCCTTATACTGGTATAGAAACTGGTGTTAAACCGATGTAATCTGAGTGGACATAGCATTCTCTATGTTGATTTAGCCTCATTTAATTGCCTACTGCCTTAAGCCAAATCCTTAAAGACACTCTTAACTTCTTACATATTGGGGTATATTCTGTCTAATCATTATGCTTTTCTTTTCTTCAAAGAAGCTACATCTTCAAATGTACCTCAGGGATTTAGAAACCTAAGACTCCCTTTAGAAACAGCTTGCATGTCTAGCAGCCTCAGTTGTTTTTTTTCAAGTTGCTAAAACTTAAGCTTATCTTGAAAATACTATTGGCAGTCTTAAAATGGCATGAGTCTGCACCTGCATTATGCAGCTTAAAGCCTTAGATTAGAAAACAAGTCCAAAGTAAATATTTAATTGAGGATAAACAATTAACAGTTCAGAGAGATCAAAAGGAGAATTCACACTTCTGACTATGATTGTTTAAACTTGCCCTGCTGCAGGTTAGGAACAGTGACCACGTCAAAGTTGCCTTCACAGCCAGAAGCGACAGGAACTTTATCATTTAAGCAATCTCAGGTCTCTAGGCATAAGATCTGTGGAGAGACCTGAACTCCATGTTAGCTATACATTTTCCATGCCTGGGGATTTCTAGCATCCCTTTTAATAATGAGCTCCAACCATAAAAGCCAGTGGTGATCACAAATTCTTAAACTGTCAGTTATCTGGTATTTGCACCTCTTGTTGAGGGGAAAAAGCAGGGGAAAAGATGGCATGCAAGGTGAAACTGAAGTCAAAGAAAGATCTGCAAACACAAAGGCTGAAAAGTCAGCTGCTAATCTACCCTTTAATACAGAGACTCAGGAAAAGTTAGGAATGGTGAGATATCTTCTGGTATTGTCAATACACTGAGAAAGGAAAATGTTAACATGGCTTAAGACTGCCTAATGAGGATAACTCGGCTTCCCTGCCTTATACATCCATTTGATGAATTTAGTATTTTCATCTTTTAACTCACTTGGACATGATTGTATCAACTCAAAATCTGAGACACAAATGTACATCATCATACATTCTCTGCTAAACTTAGAGACCTCAAATTTTAACATGAGTAACAACAATTTCAGTATTAATCCTAGCTTTCTGAAAAGCAAGTGTTTTTCAAAAGAGAGACGATGATTTGGAGAGAAAATATCTAAGTATCTACTTAAGAGACTTAGAAGATATCCTTTATCTGTGTCTTGCTAGTGGAACATGGCCAAAAGTGTCAGGCCTTGCTGATAGACTTGGTGGCCTCACCACAACAACCCTTTATATTCTGTGCTGTGAAGCTTTGGAATTATGTTTAAGGCTCCGGGACAGCTGGGCAATGCTGCTCCAGTCGTTGTTCCTCCCCAGTACACTGCCTTGAAAGTATTAACAGCAACAAGCCACTTCTCTGTCAATAGCAAGGGCAATCATACAATAAAATGACTGCTAAAGGTCCAAAAAGCCCCTAATAAAGCTGAAAGCAAAGACTAACCTCTGTGTGAAACAGTGTGAAAAGTACAGAAATTACGTTTCTTTTTGTTTGTTTGTTTTGTTTTTAAACAGTTCAGAATGGAAAAGTTATGCCTCCAAAGTCATGATTAAAACAATGTTTGTGTTCTTGTGCACGTTGTACAGTCTTTATTCCTGGTCTCATTCACTCAGCATATATGCCAGCACGAATGAGAAGACATAATAGACAGCTCCCATGTTTCCCTAAGATTACAAAGTCTTACTGCACTAAGGCTCTACTTCACATCCAGCATCACTCTCCTGTCTCATTGCCATGGCTTTTGTGGCTGCAGGTATTCTTTACCTTTCCTTTTATCTTAGGATAGTTGATGTATGTCAGTTACTCTAAGGTTAAAAAAAAAAAAAAAAAAAAAAAAAAGCAGCTTTTAGCACTGAGGACAAGCCCTAAAGGAGATACTGACAAGCAATCTGTCTTGGGGGTAATTTCCAGATGGATCCAGTGCAGAAACCACATTCCTGAAACTAGTAGATGAAAGCATGGCAGCTGACACAGCTTAAATTTGTGACTCAGGCAAATCTGTGTTTACCCAGGTAGGATTAATACTCATACCAGCCAGAACTGCAGTCACTTAGTGCCAACATTAATGGTTCTGGGGTTGTCCATCTAAACTGACTACTTGCTCTGCTGACTGCTATGAATACACCATTGATTTCTTCATTTATTTAAAAAATGGCAAAACAAACATTCCCAATACAATCTAGGCTTTGACTTGCAGGAGGACTGAGCTGGTTCAGTCAGGTTATGGTAATTTGTCTGTTGACATTATTCTGATGGATAAAATGCCTATTATAAATATGTTTGTTGCTTCTCCCACTCTAGTGGCCCCTAGCCAAAAGTATGGTCTGATTTGGGCTTTAAGAGTTTGTTCTGCAGATGCAGTGCAGCTCCAAACACTTTCTAAGAGAAAATTAATTAGACATACCACTAAGTAGAACAGGGAATCTTAGAAGGTAGAATCTTCCCACAGCTCAGTAGAAGAAATAGGAGACCTTCATCCTTCTGTAGCTGATGAATTCAAAGCCTATTCTGCTGCATGTACCACTAGAAAAGGATGTAAATAGTCCATAGGCCCACAAGCAGCCTCGGCAGTTTCAAAAATAAATAAATAAATAAATAAGCAAATAGTTAGACAGGTAAAAATAGAAATAGTTTAAAGTTATTATCTTTAAACCAGATCATTTCAAAAACAGATCCTCTTGCAGGCATACAAATATTTGTTCTAGCATAAGGAAGAAGAAGGGAATACAAGGCTGGAAAGGAGAGAAGAAGATTAAGACTAAGGCAGCCCAAACTTGAATCATCTCAATATGCCTGGAACCCTCCTCAGAGTTTCAGCATATGCTTTGAGACCAATGAAAAATGAACTGAAACTGCACATCGTTGTTGAGCTGATCTATCTGTAATTTTAATAGTCATATCAGAGAAGCCAAACCTTATTTATTTCTCAGGGTCCCTGTGCCCTTCAAGTTACATCTATCACCAATGAACACTTCACTCAAAACTCCTTTCCGTGTTTCTTTACAAACTGTTTTTAGGATCAAAGATTGCAGCAATAAGATGACACATGGTGACAAAAAGGAACCAGGAAATTCCACCCATCTCCCTGACCTCTCTGCTTACTAGTGGGAACCAAAAGTAGGGAGGCACTCTGCTGTGCCAGGTACCAAGCAGGTTGTTGAGGTGCTGAAAAGCGTGATAAAAAGGATCTGAAACTCTCATGAGAAGAGAGATTGGAAAGGATGATATTTTCACAGAGTGAAGGATGTACAGGAGAAAAAAAAAGTATGTGTAATAAGGAAAACAATTTGGAAAAGGGAGACTAAATGAAAGACACAGGAGAGTATCTTTGATCTTATACCCCATTATTTAAGCTACTCTGGAGCAGATGGACTTCCATCTGCCTACTACATGCTGCTTCTGCCTGCATCGTGAAATGCTGGTCTGACCTCTATCTCAGGTGGGCTGGGACTAGCTGGATGTTCAATCTGATTTCTCATAGAAATTCCAGTGTTCTTCTAATTGAACAAGGCTCTTCAATCAGGATTCAAATCTGATTGCTGTGGTGATATTTAAACACATGTTTAATGATTTGTTAAACCAGAGGTTATGTTAGTACCTGTTCTGGGCACTGTAGAAGTTGCACCACTCTTAAGAACAGACCTCTGGCCACTCTGGATGGGAAAAGATGCAGGCACATGACTGTTAGCTCTGCCGGTTTGATTAGCATATGTTAACCACTTGGGTGGATGTTTATTTAAAACCATCTGCTCAGTTAATCTGTGTAACTATCTGAAATAACTCCTGAGGTCAGTGTTTTAAACAAAGGGATTGGGCAGATGGTCAGCTTTGCAATGCAGGTGGAACACTAGAGGTTTGAGGAAGCAGATATAATTCCAATATAAGCTTGAATTACCCACTTTTCTTGCAGTTGTTGGATTGTTAGAGCT